AAAATATAAGCCATTAACCCTTCATGTGCTGGTTTCCAATTAAAAACACGTTATTACTGAAACTTCAGAAAAGCAAATAAGCCAATTTAGGTACAACTATGACCCAGGGTGCGGAGGTAGTAAACACTTGGCAATTAACTCGAGGGCCGAGGACAAGAAGGGCCAATGTCCTATGAGTCAACGTTGAAAAATCGCCTTTGAAAGCTTGCTCCGTTAATTGAAAGTCAGCAAATAATAATTCACGAAATAGAGTTTATTTCTGTGATTAATTAGTCTGTTTTGTATTGGTCTAATCCTTTTAGAGACTTTTTCATGAGAAACTTATAATCATTTTTTGTAGTGCTTTCAAAACACATTTCAGGCATGAATTATTGCTGTTTAAATTGACAAATTGTTAGACCATCAGACAATTTATCTACCATTCTTTAGCTCAAATATATAAATAAATAAGTTTCCATTAACAATAATTCTATAATATCTCAACATCATTTTTTTCCTTACTGTAACTATTAACTTTAAGGAAAATATAGAACAGCAAATGATGTCAACCTAACCCCTCCCGTTGTCATTTATTCAAAGTGTAGCCATATGTGGCAATCAGTCACGCGTTGATATACAGGCTTTTCATTGAATTCCAAAGCAATGCTCGTGTGGCGTCCTTAATGCACTGACGACATGAGTATCTTTAACATGAATACTAATGTTATATGTGGCGTCCCTAATACACCGATGACATTAGTATTTATAATATGAAGACTAATTTATATGTGGCGTCCCTAATACACTAATGACATAAGTATTTATAATATAAAGACTAATTTATATGTGACGTCCCTAATACACTGATGACATTAGTATTTATAACACTTATAGATATTAAAATGGTCAGTTCGGTGGTTGGCTGGTCTCAAAATTGTCGTTTTTGGACATTGGCCCTTCTAGCATTCGGCCCAAGAACCTATACTTCAAAGAGTTAATTACATGGGAATGTCATTAATGATTATATTTAATGAAGAGGGAGGGTGAAGGTGGAAGGAAAGGGAGGGAGAATGAAAGTGTGAGAGAGAGACGGCGGAGGAAAAAGATGGAATGTGAGGGGAAGAAAGAGAGAGAGAAAAAAAAATGGATAGCAAAAGATAGGAAGAAGGGTGGAGTAGGGAAATATATATATATGTATATATATATATATATGTATATATATAGAGAGAGAAAGAAAGATAGGTAGATGGACGGAGTGATATATATGTGTGTGTGTGTGTGTGTGTGTGTGTGTGTGTGTGTGTGTGTGTGTGTGTGTGTGTCTGTGTGTGCGTGTGCGTGCGTATTGTATCGACAACAAAAGAGAAACAACAAATAACGAAAGGGAGACCAGGAATAAAGAAATAAGAAAATAAAAAATAAGAAAAGCTTAAAGGAAAAAAACTTAACAAAAGAAGAAAGGAGAGAAAAAAAACAAGGAGTGGGAAAATAAGGATAATATTACCGGTTTATTCCATGTAATTCTCTTTCCAAAATCCTGGTTTATTCGTCGTCAAGGAATTCTCTCTCTCTCTCTCTCTTCCTCTTTCTTTCTTTCTTTCTTGTGTTTCCCTCCTTCTCTCTCTCTCTCTCTCTCTCTTTCTTTCTCTTCCTCTTTCTTTCTTTCTCTTTTGTGGTTCCCTCCTTCTCTCTATCTCTCTCTCTCTCTGTCTGTCTGTCTCTCTCCGTCTCTCTCTCTCTTTCTTGCACAAACACACACACACACACACACACACACACACACACACACACACACACACACACGCGTGCATGGACACACACACACACACACACACACACACACACACACATATACATACATACGTATGCACACACACACAGATACATACGTATGCACACACACACACACATACGGACGCACACACGCACATACACACACACGCATGCACACACAGACGAGCGCGCACGCGCACACTCACACCTATATAAACACATACACACACACACACACACACACATGCGTATAGAACACATACACACACACACACGCAGGCACACACACACACACACGCGAGCGCGCATACACACACACACGCCCGCACACATATGCCTATATAAACACATATACACACACACACCATGCACGTACGCACACACACACACTCTCAAACGCGTGCGCGGACACTGCTTTACAAGCTGGTGAATGCACACACACACGTGCGCGCGCACATTTACGCGCACACACATGCATATATAAACACATACACACACACGCACACACACACACACGCACATATGCACGCACACACACGCGCGCGCGCACACACACACACATACACATGAATATATAAACCCATACACACACACACGCACGTACACACACACACAGGTAGGCACACACGCGCGCGCGCGCACACACACACATGCATATATAAACACATACACACACACACACACACACACACATTCACACACACGCACGTATGCACACACACACACACGCGTGCGCGCGCACACACAC